AATAGAAATCGTGTTTTTCTTTGGGAAAAAATTATAAAATTTTTTATTAAAAATTTATGTTTTTTGTAAAAAAAGCTTGTAACAAAATATTTTTTTATTTTCAAATTTAAAAGAATGTTTCCTAGAAAATTTTCTTTCCGTTTTTTTTGTCCTTACAGTTAAGCTTTTTTTAAATTTTTTCCCTTTTTAAATTTTTAAATTTAAATACAGTTTATTGATATGTACGCCCCTTCCCTTTTTCCCCCTTTTGAAATCTACCCATTTATTAAACGGGGGGCCCTTTTCACTTTCCAATCCAGGGGTTCCCGGTTTTTATAAGGCGCACCCTAAACTTTTTTTTGGATTTTTTTCTAAACTCTTCCTCTTTTTTTCTTCTTTCAAATAGATAAAATACCTCAAAAAATTTTTAAAACGTCATGCCAATATCGAATTTTAAATTTTTAGTTTTACCTGTAAAACCTTTAACCCTCATATTAACAAGACAACAGCTTCCCGGCCCAAAAAGGACTTAACTTTTGGGTTAAGAAACAGTTTTTTTAAGATAATATTAAACCACCCTTAAAAAGTTTAATCTTAATTTATAAAAAATTTATTTCTTTAAAAAAATCGCTAATATAATATTCTTGCCATAAAGACTCTGATTTGGAGAGGGTTTTTTTTTTACTATAAACTGTTAAAGATCGTATCATTGTTATATTGAAATTATCAAACATTATATTTTTCATAACTAAAAAGATTCACTATGATAAAACTTGCTATGGAAGTTACTTGCATGAAATCTGCTAATGTTGCATAAATGTCATTTTACATATCTAGGTGACAGGGGTTAAAGGTAACATGTTTCTTAAAGCTATTTTCCAAGAAATGGCCATGCTTAATGGTAAGATATGCCGTGTGTAAGTAGGCCTTTTATCAAGTTTGTTTAAATGATGACCCTAGAAGCAACGTGCAAAATTTGACCCGGCCCATGGGGTTACTTGATTTAAACAAAAATAATAAATTATATCACTACACTAATTTAACATAGAAATCGAAATGGAATCATATATATATTATCAGAAGCTTTTTGTTCAAATTGAATAAGATGTTAGCGCATGCCCAGATCGTGCGATGTGATATACCGATAGAAAACGCCATCCACGTAACAGGTTTCTTTTTAATAAGTCGCTGTACAAAGAAAATGAAAACTATTTACAGAATATCTGTGTTTAACAAAATTAGTTTATTTATCACGTTTCTTGCTTTTTGCTGGATAAATTTCATTTATTATACTGGATATTTGGCTAAAATACGGGTGCGTATCATATAAAATATAAAACATATTTGCGTTTTTTAGATATTAAAATTCGTTTTTGGATTTTTTTGTATATATTATATTAAACGTATATAAAATAATTGACAAAGTAACATATTGTACATATCTCGGATGAAATATAGTTATAGTATATCATATTTAAGAATGTCATTAGAGAAAATGTGTTACTTATAAATTAAAGATCAAAATACAAATACAACACATTTTTATCATTCTGATCTCTTATATTAATTAATAGATTTTTATATGTAAAAGACACAGCATAATGTAAGTTGAATGGTTCCGACTTATCGAATATATATCATTTCTATTAACTGAATTCTTGGGCGGGATGTGATATAATGTATTTATTTAATAAATATTATCAATATTAATTTTTTTTTTGTTTTGTTTTTTGTTTTGTTTTTTTGAACCACGTTTAAGGCCCGTTAATTTTCAAGAGAAGGATACAAACATGATAATTTGGTCCCAAATATAAAAACCCGAAAATTATTAAAATAATATATAAATTTAAATTTTTTATAAAAATTTAAAAAATTAATTATTTTTAAATAATTTATTTTCTTCCCGTTTTAAAAAAGTTTTTACTTAAGTAAAAAATTAAAAGTTTTTAAAGTTGTGAATAAATTTTAATTAAAAATTTAAAAAAAATTTTTAAATAAAAGTAAAGTTAATTTTTGTTAAAAAAGGAAATTTGTTATATGTGGGGTGAGTATTTTTTTATTTAGTTTTAAGAGTTAGTTTTAAGGGTTAATTTAAGTTGTTACTTACTCTGCAATCCTACCCGCGGGAAGTGTGCTAATATTTTTTTGCAAAAAGTGGGTGGGGATTTTTTTTCATTTTTTTGAAAACCCCATTAACCTGGGGCATTTTTTTAAAGGAAAAAGAAAGCATGCGAGCATGAAGTATAATTTTCACGGGGGACAAAAAACAGTGTTTCTTTTTTTTAAAAAAAGTTTAATTTTAGAGTACATCCGGGCAGTATAACCCTCGTTAAAATATATGTATAATGTTTAAAAAAATTAAACATTTTAATTATGTTATGGTCAATGTCAAAACTGTTTTTCCCGCGACCCCCCCAAACTAAAGGGTTTAGAAAAAAAATTGGGGGGGGGGGAGCGAAAAAAAACAATTAGCCGGGGTTTCAAACAAAATTTAAAAATTTAAAAGGCGGGTCGCGGGGTTTAAAAACCGTATGGCAACAAAACAGCCAAACCCTAAATAACTTTCCCCTTTTTAATAAAGAAAAAGGGTTTTGTTTATTTGAGATTTAAAAGTTTACCCTCCCAAACTTGGGTTTGGGGACCAATCGAAATTTTTTTTTTTTTCCCCCTAAATATTTAATTATTTTTCCAGATTTAAAAAATGACAACTTTTTTTTTAAATAAAAAATATGGTCAGATGTGCACTGCATATCTTAAGTAGAACCGAATGAAATGCTTCCTAGACGTATATCAGTTTAGATCTGCGCAGTTGTTGACATTGAAGAGGAAGCGTTACGACACGAAAAATCCATTACGGCCTTACTTGTAGTAATTGTTTTATACTGTGATAGAACGGGTACGCTTAAGTGATTGTATTATTTCAAGAATTCGGCATCATATATTTTATTTATATGTATAGACATTTAGACAGTGATTTGAGCTCGTAATGGTTTATCCTTTTGCATTAAACATTAATTAATTATATTCCGATTATATAAACTTTTATAAGAAAAGTTAGTGAACAACAAAAAACCTAAAATTTGAGCATAAACATGGCATTAAAAGACATCAAAACCATACCTAACCAGAATATAAAGAAGCACATGTGTGATCAGCTCGCTTTTAGGCCTCCACACAGTACTTTTCAAATCATCTCAAGAAAAAAAACAAGATAATACATACAAATTAATTTCTTCCAAACGAATTTGTATCCTTGTTTCTTAAGGAAATAAATGGATAGATTAAAAAAATCAGACTTTTTATAACAGTGCAATGCAACAGCTCTTACACCGATGCGCTTCGCCCAAATGCAAAACAGTTCCGCTTTTGGTTGAGACAACGTGTTATTCCAATGTTTATAATTTTAGCCTGGTTCTACGATATTAAATCTCCGTAAACCTCAGACAGTTGTACAGTCCATTATTTGTATACGAAGATAAGAAAACATTGTCTTTCCATTTCAAGAAATGTAAATGAAAAATGTTTCGAGATAAAGCAAAAAAAAAAAAAATTCTCCTGAAGTGTAAAGCCGATGTATGTTCTTGTATTTCTATTGATCCTGTCATTCCGCAGTAAATCATGCGTTTATTCAAAATTATAAAAGACTCATCTGCTTCGCAGCCAAATAAGACAGGTGTCTTTTTTACGTCCAATTACGTCAACACATGTTACATATTCCAGCTGTGACATACACGGCTCAAATAGGCTAATTAGATTTAATCTCTTGCGACCAATGTGATGCTTATAACACACAACAATGCATCCTTATATATAAGTTTATTAATACGTAAAGAAGCCAATCATTATAAAACATACAACTCAATGCAATAACTCAAAGGACAACGTGAGTCATGACTTTACATATGGTGAACTTTATATAATATAGTTAGCTATTTATTTTTTGACATAAGAAAAATGCGTATAATAAACAACACGTACAAAAAGAATGATTAATTAAACAAAAAAAATTAAATCTTAATTTACGAAAAGCAGTGTCAGAGGTACATTTAGTTTAATTAATGGTAATTCTAAAAGAAAAGAATCTGTATGGATGTCCAAATTGAAATCAGACCACAGGAAAAGTCTCTGTTTGTCATCCATGATTTACCTTGTATTTCTAATTACTGATCGGTCAATCTTCACTCGTGTACATTTTTTCTGATATTTAGTGACAATTAATTATCATCAAGTATCAGGTATTTTTTGTTTGTTTTTACTTTAGAGGCAGTGAGATAACAGCTAAACGATTCCGAGATTGGGGAAATTTGAAATATGCTTTACGATCAGTAGAGAGGTATGCCGATTGGATCAACCATGTTTTTATTGTAACAAATGGCCAGGTACCAAACTGGTTAAACACCGGGTACCATAAAGTCTCCATAGTGAAACATTCGGTAAGACGATTTAAATAAGATAACGTCTTAGTTTTTGTTATTGTTGTTGTTTTTCTTGTTGTTGTTGTTGTTGTTGTTGCTTTTATTTTGCATCAACGATGTTAAAAAACCGAGATATTGATAAGTGTTTATTCTGTGTACAAGAAAACTAAAGGAAATACCTTGGTTAAAGACACGACCTAAAATATTATCTGAATTATGGCAATTTTAGTCTTGATTGATCACTTAGTAAACATGTAACGATTCTGAATACTGTTTGGACTCCTTTCTGCAGTAGGTTTTGAAACAACAGGGCTAAAACAGGCTCCTGTTTTGAAAGTATTACTTCATAGTGATTTACTTTTTATATGGAAGTCAAAGTACAATTGTGTGTGTGTTTTGCTACAAATTGTATCACAACCGACACTTCGGACATGCGGTGATAATAATCTTATTTTCTTTTTATTTCAGTTCATAATCAAGACAATATTAAACATAGGTTTTCGCCTTTCTTAATAAACGAAAAACATTAGTTTCTTGGGTATAACTTTACAACATGCTTTTTTGTTAATCCTGATCAGTTTTCTTTTTTCAGGAATTTTTTAGAAACTTAAGTCACCTGCCCACATTTAATGCTGGTGCTATAGCATGCCATGTTCATCGTATACCACGTTTGTCTAAAAGTTTTTTGTACATGAATGATGATTTTTTCTTTGGCAAACCAGTTGGATTGGAGGATTTTTATACCAACGAAACAGGCTTCAAAGTAAGTGTCTATTTATTTAAATACAGTCGACAGTTGTATTTTAATTTAAAAGTCTTTTTCATAAATGACATGCATTGTGCAATAAGGGAAATATAAAGTCTCGTGTATAGCTTATACAATTACACGACGTCCAGTTAAGGGTTTCAGCAGACAGATATATTGAAATATTGTGAAGCTCATTGAAAATTAATCCTATAAATATAACACTGTGGACATTTCTTTTATCCATTAACAGATCAGATTTGGTGCTGAAAAGGTTCCAAATTACATGGACAAATGTAACAAATTTAACTTATACAGAAGACATATTGAGAAGTTTTGTAATAACAGCAGTGGTTGCGAATGGAATGGCAAATATTGTTACCCTACCGAGCAGACACAGTCTAGATTAATAATGAGTTTTAACGGACCATTTTCTGGAAGTCTTGTGTATACTTCAATAGCATTTGACAAAGCGTTTGGGCATGCGCAACGAGGAGTTCCGGCGCATGCGCCTTACATTACTGACGTAGACACAATGGACGCTCTACAGGATCGGTAAATTATTTGTATGAAAGTTGACCAAGATTCTAAATGATGTCAATATATAGATTTTTAAAGCGTAATTCGTAACTAAATCATTCATTTATACAATAACTAGTGATTCTTGCTCACATACTTATTTTATTTTACGATGAGCTTAATACATCTTTTTAATCGCCTATAAAGTAACTTCTAGCAAAAAAAGAGTATTTGGCGAAGAGTTATACTCATCTAGAGAGAGAAATTATCAGCTTTAAATTTATTGTATTATAAAACCATTTGTTATTGCATGCTTAAGTTCTATAAATTTGTAAGGACGATTATCACCGCCTCATTTATAAGAAATATTTTTTATAAGGTTTCCAAAAGAATGGGAGAGAACATCTTCTAACAGGTTTCGTGACCCACACAGTTTTCAACACGGGTTTGCATATTATCATTTCTTGATGTTACCAAAGACAAATACATGCCGTGAGGAAATAAGGAGACCAATGTAAGTAATAGAACAAAATAAACTTAACGGCTTATTAATATCTATAGAAATTCTACATCTCAAAAACGTTTATTTTTTCAGTTTCTTTTAAACGGTATTCATAATATTAAAACATTTAAAACACAAATTGGCCTTTTATAAAAAATTTTTTTTTTATTTCTGATGCTAAGTACGCCTTCAATGATTTTTGGGAACGCCAACTCTCTTATGTTGTATAAATTTGTAGTTCGAACCTTTTGCTTTTTATTAACAACTACAGCACCCATGTAAATACAGTAAATTTTTTTTTCGATAAATCTTTGTCTTATAAATGTTTGCATGTAACATTGTATCTGTTTTGTACAGAAAGAAAAAATATATATATGATTAAACTAAACTAATATTTGTGTGTTCTTGATTTTTATTTTGCCTGCGATGAAAGCCTGAAACATATATGAACCACTCTCGAGTCCGCTTTTTAAAACAGAGTAAAACTAGTGTAATAACCATGGTCATTGGGCGTCCGTGGCCGATTGGTTAAGGTCGTTGACTTCAATCCACTTGCTTCTCACCACTGTGGGTCCGTATCTTGCCATGGATTTTAGAATGTTTTCATGTGAGAAATATGTTTAGCTAGCTTATGGAAATTTGATGCCCGATCCTGCCTGAAATAATGCACTGAGAGTCACCTGAAGTCTTCCTCCACCTGTAAAAGCTGAAAAACGCCAAATGAACTTTAATGTGTTGGGTGTGACTTTAACCCAACCCCCAAAAGGGTATGGGTGTGGCTTGTGTAAGGCTTCAACCATCCTCGGATACCCAAGATTGATAAACATGTCACATAACATGCAATCAACCGTGGGTAAAATGAATCGATTTGCGTCGATCTATAGCAACAGGTGCTTAAAATATCTACCAATGACATCGCGTTTAACAAATCTATATTCTTCAACAGCGGAGGTAAAAAACAATAAGAAACAAAATGGCAGCGCCCGCGGTTAAAAACTGTTGTACGTGTCTTGCTAAAATCAATTGCAAAAACTATCGCCAAATCAGTTCATCTGCAAGCAGATATCAATCAGAAAGGAAAACATCACGCTGTAAAAATAAATTATCTATACTTTCTTGCTGGAAATCGTTAAATTTTTCGATGTTGAACTTTTCACGTCGTCTATGGTTGTCGCAATATTGTCTGTAATACCGAACGTCGTACAAAACGAGCGTTTTGATTGGTTTTAATCGCCTCATGAAATCGTGAGGCAGCCAATGAAAAAGCTGCCTTTGACACACCTCTAATCGACTGAATATCGGCAAAAAAATCCCAAGGCTGATAAATGTTAATGGTTCGGCCGTGGGTATCCGACGATGGGCTTCAACCGACGATCCATTTTTACTTAAAAGAAAATCTTCTCGTGGATCAAGATGTCTTCGTCATTATAAATAGTGTTATTGTATAAATAGAACAGTTTTGTATAATCTTATAAAAAAAATTTTTTTTATATATGTTTGTATATTAACAGTAAAGGGACATAAATTGTTTTTCACGTTATCTTTGACGTCACGCGTATTAATGTAACTTGGTTTATTCAAAATGTTAAATTTTCAATTTACAATTTCTTGAAAGAAAATATTGAAATAACAGTGAATTAAGTGGGGATTTTATTGTATTAGAGATGATAAATAAGTAATTAAAGTCTTATATATTTACAGAGCGACGAGTTACAAAGATTATGATGACTATGCATATTTTGCTACTGGGAACTTTCATCATTTGCAGACGTCGCTGGCCAACCTTTTGAGTAAAAAGAATAAGTATGAAACATACATTCAACATCACCCGTTTCTTTTTTTCAAAGCTAAAAAAAATCATTTTAAAAATCCAAATAATATGTACTAATTACGTAGAAAATCAGTTATGTTTACCCATACATTTGAATTGTTTAAAATATTTTTTCATTATTTTAGCTCAATTATTCGAAGAATAGGGAGTACTATTGGTCGACGTCGCCGTCCACTTTAAAGGTTAAAGTTTTGCGTGCAAGTTGATATCTCTAAAACTGATCAATATAAATGTTACGGTGCCACACTGAATGTACCGTCAATGGAGAAATTAACTACAAACTAAAAATGTAACCAAATATCTTGATAGATTGTGGATGCGAAACAGTTCACTCAAACTTTTTTTTGATCTTCTTTTTCTTCATATGATGCGTTGATCATATAGTTAACAGTAGTTTTGATCAAGCTGATCATTATTCATATTTACTTACCGTTAAAGCCATCAAATCAAGACCGCCTCAAAACTTGTGTGGTTGGGTTGGGCGATTTCAATTGTCGTAGGTTTAAAATTTATTTTCGAAGTATTAAAACTTTTTTCAATTAGATGTGGTAGTCTCTTTGTTGACGAACTGACGTATGCGACTTAATCTCGTATTCCACAAACTGTCGTATTTGACAAGTTATCGTGCACCGCTCTAAAACTATACAGACGGGAATAAGTTGCTTGTTCATTTTAATTATCATACACGATGGACACAGGATTCATTACTCTGAGTTACCTTTTTCTAGGGTTATGTCCTTTTTCTTTCTGTCAAGAAAAAAAGTCTCCTCACTCCCTAGTATTCTTATAGACCATCAATGTTTCCTAAGTGGGTCAGTGACAAAAAGCAATAATTAACAAGTTTACTTTTTGCAGAATTGAATTTAGTAAATATTGACCTGTAGGACTAAATAGCTACCATTTCATTTTTAAGATATCCGTTTTAATTAAAATGTTACTATATCGATATTAAAATTGAATAAAATTTAATGTACATTTTACTATTTCAGGAAGTTCATTTGTATAAATGATCACATGGGTAACAAAGTGAGTGACGTGGACGTTGCGCGTAACGGTGACGTCATAACAAAATTCTTCAAAGAATATTTCCCAGAACGTTCAAAGTTTGAAAATGAAATGTGAATTAATAAAAGAATCATATTTAATTGAACAAACTGTGTTGCCATGAAATACAAAAGTGAAAATCAAAGGCTTGAATAAACACAAATATCGCTGTGGCCGGATGTTGCTAAACTTCAAATAAAACCTGTTTTCATGTTAAAAATGTTGTGCTTAAACGGTGCTTTCGAGCGTGGATTGTATCTTGCCTTTACCCATGCGTGCATGAACATACTTCATCAATTATCCGAACCAGCAGCATTTTCAATTTTAGAGACTATTCTAAAACATTCATTTCATCAGAACAGGACATACCTTTCAATTCTGATTTATATATAGAACATCATCATGTACATAATTTTTTTTTTCAAGTAATTATAACATGTACTTGTCAGTACATGTACCATCAATATAAAAGAAATCAAATACTATTTTTTTTCAAGTAACATGTACTTGTCATACATGTACGAAATCAATAATATAGATACTATTAAGAAATCAATAATTGTAATGAAACTTCAGTTGATTGACAGGAAGCTTAGTTAAGTGAGGATGGACAAATTTCAGAAGAAGAACCAAAACAAATTTTGATCTATCATTAAACATTATTTTATAGAAGTTGCTGAAGTTCTAACTGTCATAGCATTTTACCGCCAGTCATGAAATATTTATTTTCAAATCACTCGATGATAATAAAGTATTTAGATAAAGAAAAACTTAAATACAATGTATCCTCTATATATCATTGATCATTTTAAAATCTCCTCAGTTTGCTATCAAAAGACAATATTTAAAACCTTATTAACGACATTCAAAAGCGGTATCAGTACTTAACTTTGTTTGCTTTTTTGTTGGCTTTGAGATTTAATAAAAAAAAATTCTGAACTCTACAGTATCTTAAATCTCATGATTTTCATTGAACATCAGAAATTTTGTGCCAGATTCCGACCAATCTAATACCACTGTTCTGTGTTTGAATTAAAAAAAACAAATCTTTGTATCACAGTTTGGGAACATATCTGTTGAAAATGTGTCAGAGTTTAATCGTATACATATGCATGCACAGTGCGTTAACTGTAGTGCAGGTATTAGTTACCCGCACTCCAGAGCATGCCCATGGATTGGCTCATTTTTTGTCTTGTGACGACAGAGAAAGTGATAGAAACATAGTATTCAAATGATCTTTTATTGGTTTACAACATTTAAACAAATAAAACCCATTAACAATATTTTACATCATGCAGTTTCTTTGTAATGAGGGCATAAGTGCAGACTTTAAGTAGCTATAAAAGCTTTTCCACTTAAAAATGCATATATAAATTTGCACCGTTTGATTCTAATACCATATCATCTAGACAAAAAATAACTAACAGACATTAACTTAAAAGGGAAATTTTTACTTGGATTGTCTTTGATTTGTATTTTATTGTTACTCAACGTCTTTATACATAAAATACCAATACCCAGTCAGAAAAGACGAGTCCGCGAAGTATTTCAACAAAAACTGGACAATTTTGATCACTGTAAATGATGCGTATTTGGACTTCTTTCAAAACTGGATTCATTTCTACAATAAGCTACATGTAGACTACCCCATGATAGTCATTGCCGAGGACGATGTTGTGTTTTTTTAAACTTTGCCAACTAAATGGAAGACCAAGATACACTCTTGTTAGGAGCTGGAGGATTTCACTTAGGTCGGCTGTTGTATATGGATCTAAAGGTTTCATGGAACTTGCTTCGGGCAGGCCAACTTATATTCTAAGATATTTAGAGAAAGGAACGAATATTCTTTACGCAGACACAGTTTCCGTTTGGTTAAATGACCCAAATCCATTTTTCCAGGGACAATATGATGCAGCTTGACGGTCCTAGAAATTTATGCACCGGGCTGATGGCCATCAAAAGCAATAATGAGTCTATACAACTAATGAAAAAGTGGTATGTGGGCGTTTAAAATTATATGTTGCATTTGTTGCATTTTTGGTACCAGTTTTTTTTTTCCTTCTAAATATTATGATACTGCTCGATAGTTACATTTATGATATTATTCGGCAAATTAATAGTAACTTCTTTGATCATTTTACCATCTATAGATTGTGAAGATTTACATTATATTTCATTTAGTAGAGTAAGGATGCTTATCAAGTCATTCTCAGTAGTCAAAACAGTGTATATAGACAGGGGCAAAAATGCACTGTCATTTCCCTTGTATATGTGCGACTCATACGGTTGTCCACATGATATTTCTTGTAGTTATTTATAGATTCTGATTAATTTTCCATCTAATTCAAGCAGGTTTTCATCTAACTCAAGACATAAATAAAATCTACATCCCTAGCAAACCAAATGATCGATGGATAGGGGCCAATTTCGCCACCAGTAGCATGATTTGAGCAAACTTGGTAGAAGTTTACAGGTCAACTATCTCATCTAATCTCAAAGGCCTTGTTATTTCTTCCCAAAAAGAAATTTGAAAGTTGTTTTTTTTTTCTATGTAAAACAACGGGAAAAAGTTACCCTTGTGGCTATAAGTACCTCACAACCACGATATAAAACAAGCAAATTCGTTGAATTTATATCCCCCGCCGAGTACTGCTTTTTTTTACACAACAACTGAAGACATAAGGCTTTATTTATATATTAATCATGGCATAAACAGTAATATTCTTTGAACTTGATAAATATTCAGGGCAATAACAGAGCCATAACATTGTGTTAAATAGTAATATCTGGAAATGCCAATGAGATGTATGCATACTACATAACTAATCAAGGGCCATAAATCTGAGTTATAAGTATCAGACCGGAACAAGGCGACTTTATGCACATCTCTTCTAAGTATCCCATAAAGTTTCATTGAATTCTAGCCAGTAGTTACAGAGAAGTAGCACGGAAACGATTATTGCTCTGGTTGTATACTGCCTAAGTTATCAAAGGTCATAACTCTAAGTTAAAATGTCTGACCCGAACAAGGCGACAATATGCGCATCTCCTCTTGGTATTGAAGGTTCCCATAAAGTTTCATTGAATCCCCCCCCCCCCAGTAGTTGCAGAGAAGTAGTGAGGAAACGAATATTTTTCTATATGGATACTGCATAACTAATCAAGGGCCATAACTCTGAGTTAAAGTGTCTGACCCCAACAAGGCAATGATATGCGCATCTTCTCTTAGTATTGAAGGTTCCCATAAAGTTTCATTGAATTCCAGCCAGTAGTTGCAGAGAAGTAGCGCGGTAGAGATTTTTGCTCTATATGCATACTTCATAACTAATCAAGGGCCATAACTCTGAGTTTAAGTGTCTGACCCGAACAAAGCGACGATATGTGCATCTCCTCTTGGTATTAAAGGTTCCCATAAAGTTTCGTTGAATTCCAGCCAGTAGTTGCAGAGAAGTAGCGCAGAAACAATTATTTCTCTATATGCATACTGCACAACTAATCAAGGGCCATAACTCTGAGTTAAAGTGTCTGACCGCAACAAGGCAATGATATGCGCATCTCCTCTAGGTATTGAAGATTCCCATAAAGTTTCGTTGAATTCCAGTCAGTAGTTGCAGAGAACTAGCGCAGAAACGATTTTTACTCCATATGCATACTGCATTTTTAATCAAGGGCTATAACTCTGAGTTAAAGTGTCTGACCGGAACGGCTGACGATATGCGCATCTCCTCTTGGCATTGAAGGTTCCCATAAAGTTTCGTTGAATTCCAGCCAGTAGTTGCAGAGCAGTAGTGCGGAAACAATTTTTACTCTATATGCATACAACATAACTAATCAAGGGCCATAACTCTGAGTCAAAGGGTCTGACCGGAACAAGCTGACGATATGCGCATCTCCTCTTGATATTTATGATTCCCATAAAGTTTCGCTGAATTCCAGCCAGTAGTTGCAGAGAACTACTCCGGAAACGAAATTCGGACGGACGAATGGACGGACAACGCCAAAACTATATCCCCCTCCCGATTCCATCGGCGGGGGATAATAAATGTAAGCAGTGTTTAACGCGTAATTCAAAGGAATGTGAGGATTTCTTGCCGTGTTTATTTGAACCCCATTAGAGTAAAACCTTTGTTTACTTGAGCATGAAACTTTCCTCTCACCGCTTAGTACTGCTTGGTACTAGGAACGGATACAGAAGTACAATATATGTCTATAACGTTATAGCTTCCTTTACAATCAACGTAAAATACATTCTGTATAGACTAAAAGGCCAATTATACATGACAAATTTCTTAAATCTATAATACATTACCAAATTTATTTAAAGTCGCTAGGGTGCAAATAACAACAAGCATTAGCCATCATAATTCTAAAAAGCTTAACATTCCAAATAAGTTTCATTAAAATTTGCCCACTGAAGTATTAGGAGAAGCACCGGCCATTATTGTCAATTAAGGTCCGTGGAAGAAGGTTGCAATTACAATTTGTTTCTATTTTTAGCTTTCTTTTCCAGTTCAGATTGTATTGTAGTAGGCTTTCCAATGTGTTATTCCAATTAAATTCCATCCAAGTCAGTCCTGTGGTTATTAAGGATTATCCCATCTTTTACTCGAATAAACATAGCAGCTTGGAGTTTCTTGTGACAAAAAAATCCACAAATATTAATTTTTGCTAAACATTGGGCCATAACTGTTCTGATCTCCAATTAATTTGCGGCAATTTACCAAAGTGCGTTTATTCACATGCTCACAAAAGTTCTTGGAAAGATTCATGGCTGTTAAAGTTTTATCAGGGGCCATAACTCTGCTGATCTCTAAAAATTTATGTCAAAAAAGCCGAAGTGCTCGAGTTCAAGTGCTGAAAACCATTCTTAGAAAGTTTTACAACACTTACAGTTTTAATGTTTTGGAGATATGAAAGACAGACTGGGACATTGATCAACCTACAGACAGATGTGCTTATATCAAGGGTTTATGGGCTTTTTCTTTGACTTTTCATGTACAAGGCATTTTTTTGAGTAAAATTACCATCTTTTGTAACTAAAATTGTGGACTGACTGAATGATGCTCATAAACCATTGGATGTTGGCCCAAATAGATTAAGAAGAAAAAA